CCAAGAACAAATTTTGTATTTTTCTATAAATGATATAATGATACGATTCATACCTTCACTGACACTGGTGCTATGTTTCTTCAGCTCTGTCATATAATGAAAAGTATACTGAATGTTTCCTTTCAAGGAAGAGAGTGTGTTTACATATCCATGTCCTCATTGCACTCTGATGTCAAAGAGTGGTAATGCAGGAAAGCAGCACAGGCTGCAATGAAATGGAAGGAAACAAGATAAGTTGGATAGAGGAAAGGTGGAAGTGAAGAAGGAAAGAGGTAATAAAGAAAGGAGCCAAGGAATGAGAGAAGGTAAATGTAAAGAGGAAGAATCACAAACAAAACTCATGCTTTGTTCTGAGTTTTATAGTTTTAAATTTTACAGTTACAACATTCCCCCATTTTGAGTTACTTTTTGTATATGGAGAGAAATAAGGGTCCAACATCCTTCTTTCACATGTGGATATCCAATTGACCAAGTACATGGCTCTATCACCTTTTAATAAGTGTCAGGACATTAGACATGGATTCAATTACTGACCTTCAGTTGTCTCTCATTGGTTTCTATATCTATCCATGGGGTAAGACATATTTGAACTATTCCATTGCAGTAAGTTTTGAAATTGAAAACTATAAATCTTCAAATTTTAGCTTCTCTTGTAATTGCAAGATATTTTGAATATTCTAGATTTCTTTTTAGATCCACCAATCAACTTCTATAAGATAAACAACTGGAACACTGAGAGATGTGTTGACTATTGAACAATTTCAGATGTGTTCTTATCTTCAGTCTTCGGATCCATACCTAGCAGTTATTTTTCCATTTATTTAGCTATTCTTTCATTTTTGAAGGTGATTTATCATTTTCAGTGTATATATTTTGTGCTACTTATTTCAAATGTATTCCTTAGTATTTTATTTTTGATTCTATACTATTTTTTCCTTAATTTCATTTTTACATTTTTCATTGCTAGTGTATTTTTAAAGAGAATTTTTTTCTTATTATATTATATTAAAATATATTTTATATTATACTATGCCATATGAAAATCACATCTTGCAAACAATTGTTTTCCTAATTTCTCCCTTAGTAGCTTTATTGCTGGTGTGAACAATAGTTATTGAATTTTATATGTTGAAATACTATATTGCCACTTTATCATATCTAAAAGACCTCTAATAAAGTGTTTAGGATCTTCTAAGTCAAGGATAAATTAATCTGAAAATAATAATAGCTTGACTTCTTCCTTTGCTGTTAGTATTTAGCTTATTTCTTTTTCTTGATTTATTGGTCTGGATAAAATTTCAAGTAATATATTAAACAAAAATCATGATAGCCAGCAGTCTTCTGTCATTCCTGATTTTACAGGAAATACTTTCAGTTTTTCCCCATTAAGAAAGGTGTTGACACTATTTTGACTGAATTGCACTATATCTATATATGATTTTTCATGAAAAAGGATGAAGGTATTTTAATAGCTCTTCATTGCACCCAATCACAGACAGTGTATAAGCATTAAAGGAAGTAAAACTATTAAAAAATATTTTATCTTTTGCTTTCCCTGTGTGTGCCTGTGTTATATATCCTCTGAAAGTAAGAATTCAAAGCCAGCAGACTCAGTAGTGAAAAAGAGCAAAATTTTCATCCAACCACCATTATTTATTACGTTTATATGATTCATTCATATTGAATAGATGTTGAAACTTACTGTGTTCCTGAACTATAAAAATTAGATAGTAGGAAAACATGAAGTTATTTGGCTATCTATATGAAGCTTCCAGAATTGTGCAGAAATAGACCCTAGATATGTAACTACCAAAGCACTATATATTTTGTAGAAAATACTGTTTTACAAGAGGATTATGGTGTCCATAGCTTTGTCTTCAGCTTCAGAAGGCTTCTATAAGCAGTTACACAACATATAGGTTGGAGCCTATAACATAAGTGAGGTTGCCTGGGGGAAGAGAAAAGTGTATTGAAGGTATAGGTGGCCATATAGGAAAGACTCTTGAGGCAACAAAGATTTTGGATATGGTTAATTATTTAAAAGAAAATCAAATTATTTAAAATGTGTTTATTTGTAGAAAACATACATATTCATGTATTTTTTATATCTTAATGCATATTCACATTATCTATCTATCTACTTATCGATCTATTCATCACCTATCCAAAATAAATTGGGTGATTTTTAAGTATCTCTCTTACACAATAATTGTGGGAGATAAGTCCAAAATCTACAGGGCATATGAACAGATTGAAAATACTGTCAAGAGTTGATGCTGCAGTCTGGAGTCTGAAACCAGTCTAGAAACAGAAATCATTCCTCTTCAAGGGACCTAAATCTTTTAAGTCCTTCAGTTGATTGGTTAAGGCCAATCTACATTATGGAAGATAATCTGTTTCATTCAGTGTTCATTAATTTAAATGTTGATTGGATGCCTTCAAAGCAGCATCTAGAGAGAGGCTGGATCAAACACTTGAGTGTTAATGTCCAGTCAGATTGACACATAAAATTAAGCAACACGGGGGATGCTATTGTGAGCTAAATGTAAGTAAGAACAGCTTGATGTAGAAGTGCTACAAATGAAGATGGGAGAAGTAGCATATAAATATTAGATTCAGAAAGCATGAGACTTTGTGATTAAAAGTAAGAGTTTAGGTAGAAAAGAGAAAGGAACTATTCTTAGGTTTTTGAATCAATGTAATGAATGACGGTGCCACTTTCTGTAGAGAAATAACTTGAACAGTGAAGAGAGATAGGGAAGAGAAAATATGACCTAGGTGTCATCAAATAAAGACAACTTAAGAGAGTCAGGGATGAGGCAGTCTAACTTCTCCAAGCTTGCTTAGCATGATGTCAGTCTGATCACAAGGCAGTCAGTCCAGGAATTTGCCCAATTCATTCCCTGAGTAGTTCCAGAACCCTGCTCATTCTTAGAAAGGAATTCACCACTTTAGATGTAACAGAGGAAATTGGAAGTCAGGTAGAGGTTACTCATCCTACTCTTTCTGGAGGCCTTAAACTAGAATCAGAGGTCAAGAGAACAGACCACAATTTTATGGGTCTGCAAACCCATACCAACAGATGACTCAAGAAAAATAGCTCCTGTGCTCAGCTACCACATCTTTGACAAGGACCTAACCATCCTCATTTGAGGAAAGATAACCTCTTTAATAAATTGTGTTGAAAAAACTGGATTTCAATCTGATAAAGATTAAAGCTAGACCCTTCTCTTTCACTTTGCACCAAACTAAAATCCAAGGAAATTCAAGATCTAAATATTAAAAAAGAAACACTAAACTTGATGGAAGATGAGTTAGCCAGAAGATATTGAAGATATTGGCATACAAAAAGACTTTTTGAAAAAAATCCTCAGTAGCATGGGAACTAGCATAAGAATTAACAACTGAGATCTCATCTTACTAAAAAGATTCTGCACTGCAAAAAAAAAACACCAACAGAGCTAAGAGACAACCTAAAGTGTAGGAAAAAAATTTTACAAGCTGCTCCTCAGACAAAGGACTATTATCTAGAGTATACAAAGAACTCAAAATATTCAGCCCCCCCAAATATAAAGACCCTATTCAAAAATGGGCATCTGAAATGAACAGAAATTTCTCAGACATAAGAATTAAAAGCAGCAAATAAATATATGAAAAATGTTCCAATCACTGGTCATTTGAGAGATGGAGATGAAAACAACACTGAGATTCCAACTCACCCCACAAAGAATGGCTGCTATCAGAGACCAACCGATAACAAATTTGGAGGGAGTGGGAGAAAGGAACCCTTCTCCATTGTTGGTGGGAGTGAAGACTGGTGCAGCCATTGTGGAAATCAGTATGGAGATACCTCAAAGAACTAAGACCAGAAGTTCCCTTGGACCCAGCCATCCCTCTGCTGGGTATCTTTCCAAAGAATTAAAAGAATCATACCACAGTGATATAGGTGCATCCATGTTTATAGCAGCACTGTTTGTAATAGCTAAAATTTGGCAACAGCAGAATTGTCCATCAGTTGGAGACTGGATAAAAAAGATGTGGTTTTTCTATAAAATGGAGTACTACTCAGCCATAAAGAATGAGAAACTGAGTCATTCACAGGAAAATGGATGTATAGAGAGGCCACACTCTTAAGTGAAATAAATAAGATATACATGTGTAAATACCAAATGCTTTCTCTGGTGTGAAAGACTAAAGGTGTAAATAAGATGCAAATTGTATAACTGATAATGTGAAATATGAAGAAAAGAGCTAATGATGTAGGGGAAGTGGAAAGGGTAGGGGAAAGGAAATAAGGGCCAAGAAAATATATGTGGAAAGAAACAAATGGAAATAAAGTCTGTAAATAGAGGAAGGGGTACGGAGTGAAGGGAGGGAAGCGATATGGGGAAAAATGAGAACCAACATATGTCATGTATAGGTACAGTTTCAGAATGACAAATGTAACTATACTGTATACTTAAAAATACAAATACACTCTATAAAAAATAAAGAAAAATATCCCCATTAATTTCACTGCCTGTTCTACTTTATCATTTACTCTCAGAATATACTGAATGCCTGTAATTATCATGCACATTTTAAGACAAGCTGCTATTGAAAATAGACATTATCATGAAGATTTTGAAGTATACTAACCTCAACTCACAATAGATAACTAGTTTGAAAAACTCTGAATAAAACTTACATTTCAGATAAATGGATCAGGGTTTACCTCAGTAGTGCCTCCACCAGCCTTGGAAGCTCGAAGTCCTCAGTTCAATTTTTTTTTCAGATTAGTTATGTGACACAATTTTTTGTTAATTATAAATTATTAAATTTATGCTGAGGATTTGATGAACTGTTTTTTTCTGAAAATAAGCGTCCTACAATTACTAAAATAATACACACTGGCTAATGATAGTAAACAAATATATTTGAACCAAAGACACTGAGTTTTCTTTTTATTGTTGTATCTATTGAATATTATTACTATACATAGTCCTACAAAATAACAGATGTCATGATGAAAGTATTTTCCTGCCAAGCTGTCTCTTCAAAGCCTCTTTAATCTCCTTGTTCCTCAGACTGTAGATGAGGGGGTTCAGCATGGGGATGACCACCGTGTAGAACACAGACACCACTTTGTTCTGATCTGTGGAGTAGCTGGACTTGGGCATCACATAAATGAAGGTAATGGTCCCATAGAACAGAGTGACTGCAGTGAGGTGGGAGGTGCAGGTGGAGAAGGCTTTGTGGCGCCCCTCAGTGGAGTGCATCTTCAGGATGGTGATCAGGATATAGATGTAGGAAACTGCTATGACAAACGCTGTGACCACAATGAAAGAACCAGCTAAAAAGGAGGGAAAAACTGCAGGGAGACTAACATCAGAGCAGGAGAGCTCAACTAAGGGAGCAAAATCACAGAAAAAGTGATTTACTGCACTTGGTCCACAGAAGAGTAAAGAATAGAAGCAAAGAGTGATAGAAGAAGCATTCAGAAAACCACTTGTGTAAGTCACTACCAGTAACCAGGCACAGACTTGTGTGGACATTTTGGTTGAGTAAAGCAGTGGGTTGCAGATGGCCACAAAGCGATCGTAAGCCATGGCAGCCAGAAGGAAGCCCTCAGCTGTCCCAAAGAACACAGCTGAGCCGAGCTGGATGCCACATCCAATGTAGGAGATGGTGTTTGTCTCCACCAGGAAGTTCACAAGCATATTGGGTGTGACAGATGATGAATAGCCTATGTCAGCAAAGGCCAAATGGCTCAAGAAAAAGTACATGGGATGGCGGAGCTGAGAGGAGAGTCTGATAAGAATGATTGTGCTGAGATTACCAGATAAGGTCACCATGTAGATGCACAGGATGATTATGAAGAGGATGCCACGAAGTATAGGATCATCTGTCAAGCCCAATAAAATGAACTCTGTCACTGCAGTGTAGTTCCCGTCTATCAGTGGATCCATGAGACAATGTAGCTGCTGCCAAAAAAAACCTGTGATGTAAACATTACGTGAAAGAATTTGTAAGTATGATGGCTTCATATTCATGCACAATATACATGGAGGTTATTATAAAGAAATATTTTCTTTCATGCAAAATTTGACTAAGAACTTTTTATGTATGTATGTGTAATTAATAATTCTGTATCTTAAAATTGCTTTTAGATGAAACACTTGAAACTTGCTTAAAATGATGTCTTTTTTCTTGAGATTGAAAATTGATGGTTTTCATACTAGTGTACATCCACAAACCTTTTTTAGTCATTATTTTTTTGAGATAGATTCTTGCTAAGGTTTTAAATTTCCTAAGCAGTGCTCAGACGTGTGATACCCATTTTCACTCTTCAAGAGTGCTGAGGTTACAGGTGTGCACCAGCAAGCCTAGCTCACTGTGCATAATTTTAATACATGGTATAGCACTTACAAAAGTGATCTTAAATGTAAATGTTTAAAGGTATTAAACATGAGAATAACTAAAAGAAATTTCAAGTGTAACAAAAAGGATTGAGAGATATAAAGGATTATCTGATGGGGAATTGAGTTCCAGCTCATATAACAGCTAATATTTATTAAATGATTACTAAATTATGAGCAAAAGTTAAACATTTCATATAGTTCTATTTTAATTTTCATTAAACAATAATGCATACCTTTATTATTTATAACCTACTGATGAAGAAACAGTTTGAAATACTAAGTAACTTGTCTAAGGTTGTATATGATGCAGGAAAATGAAAATATGAACATTGGGCAGGCTTAACTCAGCTCATTCTTTTAGGACCTATTCTTTAAATAAAATTAAGTAATGGTTCCAGTGAATTTGAACACAATTGTAAGTGGAGAGGTAACATGCTGGACTTTCAGTTTCCTGCCAGCTAATGTGTAAAAGAAGTACTTAGTTAACTACATGGTTTACAATATCTGTCAATTAAATCATAATTTTAAAAGACATAACACAAGTTTCTTGACAGAACACAGAAAAAACACAAAAGAATTTAAAAGTAAGTTTATCAATTTATCAAAGATTTTATGTTTCCACTTTAAACATTACCAACTAGTTTGAAATATTAAATTAATTACTATGCAAATCATTATATAAATACCTCAATATAATTAAAATATATTATTTCAAAAACCTAAATTCAAACAATTGTTTCCTAAAGTCAAATGTTTCTAATTGGGTTATTATATTGTGAGAGATACTTTCAAAATATTATATAGTTAAATAAAATTTTAAATTAAAAAGTGAGTAAGTTTATCAATGTTCACCCAGCTCGGAGCCAAACTGACTCGTGTTTCTTAAGATTTTTGATTTTATATCTTTTGTCCAAATTGCCCAGTGCCTCTGATGCTATAGCATTCAGACCAATAATCATAACAGGTCTTTCTATATATTTATTGACACCAAACCTTAAAAGCACTTCAAAGCTAGTGAATTTATTGGCATTGTGAAGACATGATAAGTGTACATATTGATACCATGTGGGCTTCTGGTATTATAGGTAAATAAATGTGGAATCTTAATAAACAGATGTATACCTGTTTATGCACAGTAATTCAATGGGAAATAAGTTAATTCACCTAAAGTAATTACTAGCAGAATTCCTTGGGTCTATCTGCACAGCTTGTGAATACGTATACAATTTCAAAAATAGTCTCAAAGGGAAAAAACTCAATAATAAACGAAACTCAACCAGAAAGGCCAAAATCTTACCTCCTGAAATAACAATTCATTCCTCCTATCATAATAAATTCAAGGTTCTTGTTATTATATACCATCCCTGTTATCTTCTGTGATTGTTTCCCTTTGGGCATAAATCCCTGAAGATTCTAGAGATTCAAATGTGAATTCAAATACACCAGGAACATTAGCACATCCTCATGAGTATTAGGCAGTACACTTCACCAAAACAACTAATCTTCAAGTATCTGTCAATCCCCATTCACCTTTTTCATTTAACTGCTATGTAAAGATTAATGCACTCTTATTTGGTAATTACAATATTGGATGTATAATATAATAAATGATATCACAGTTACATATGGATTCTAAGTTTACTTTGATATTCAGACTAAAGAATGATAAACAGAAAATATAAAATGGTAACATTAGCTTTACTCATTTAATGTCTCTTCATCTTGGAAGTATTTTGTAGCAATAGAAACAAGATACTTCATTAATAAATACCTGAAATAATATGGAGAGGAGTGACATTTAAATTTGGATTTCAAATAACACAATTATTTAATACATGCACATTATATTTAAAAGCAAAGCTTCAAAATACATTTCAAGTTATGGAGAGAGAGCAGTAAAGTAAAAAGCTTTTAATGGCTTCTAGGTATGACTTAGTCTTTTGTAATTAATAAGCCTCAAAACAATCACTACTGGCTAATGGCTTATATGGCCCAGTGGAGGAAGGCAGAAATGGTGACCTTTCACATGAAGACTCAGTGTGACTCTGTTGTGAATTCAAACTTTAGGAAGCTCTACCTCACCTTTCTCACGCCCTCTTGGTGGATGTGGTTGATCATTGACAGAACTAACCAATTTTTATGTGAAGCTTGCTGTGGTCAATGCTTTGCACATATTACCTCATTACTCCTATCTGGAAGCTTCAAACTGTGGCAAATGTCCAAGCTGAGATGCTTCCCTGATCATGGTGGTACATGGAGAAGCAATCAGACCACTGATCACCCCTAGAGGTAGGCAGCAGAGCAGGGACTCAAGCAGACTGCTGGACTCAATGCCATCACCTTCAGCTAGAGCTTCCTCTGGAACCTGGGCCCCACCACAGACTGCAGGCCCCTCGTCCTTCCTAGCCTGATCACTCAGCTTCTATGTCTAGATCTCATCCATCTCCTATGGCTACCTCTCACACTGTCTCTGTGGTAGGATAACACTGGAATGAACAATGGAATGAAGCTATAATATAGATATTCTGTGGCTCAACCTCACATAATCAGAACCTTCCTGAAATAGTGCCTAATTAAACTCTCTCTGGCCACATGCCAGGTGCTGCACTGGATTTGTTCTTCAACTCTACTCTGCCATCTTAGTCATGGGCTAAACCCTCATGATATTATTTTTTAAAAGTTTATCACAGTAGGAAGAGTCATCCTTGTTAGGCAAAGTGGTAGGTAGGGTCCCTACTGAAATGTTCATATTGCCAAGATTTAAGTGCCTCATGATGTCCAAAATAATACCTGATTCATAGTTTTTTCTTCAAACACTCAACACTAGCTGATGTACAGTCAGGTCCTGAGCACCAGGCCAGCACTCAGGTTGCTAATTTCCTCTCATGTAGAAGATCTCCAAGAGAGCAGAAACTAAAGTGAGTGTTGAGCTCCTTGAAATGCTTTTTAAGATTAACTAGTTTCTTGTGTTTACTTTCATCCTCACACAAATCCTTTTTGTTTTTCATTAAGTTAACTGCTGCCTTTTAGGTATATATTATGATTGTAATGGCAAATGGGAAACACCGACAGGCCCCCAGGACTGGGAGGCAGAAAGCAAACTCTATTATATCAATAACTGGTGGGATAGTTCCTCAAAGAACCAGGCAACTGCCTTTAGTCCATCTACAGATTAAATAGGGCTGGTGAGCAGGAAGTAGTATAAAAGAAGAGACAGCAGTTGATTGCTTACATATGGTATCATTACTACTGATTGATCTATAGCAAGTTCAAACTCAAGTTGGGAAACATTAGTTCAGGTTATGGTTCGCTAGACAAGTGTGACAGATATTTGGAATAACATCAGTTCAGGGTAGGGTTGACTAGATAAGAGTGGCACATAGTTGGAATATATATCAGTTCAGGGCAGGGTTGGCCAAGAAGGAATTTTCTTGGGCTGGAAAAAAATAAAACTGCTCACAGCCTACATTATCCTGGACTTGTGTCCCACCTGTCTGTTAGTCATTTTATTTTTCTATCTCATGATCCCTTTCATCATTGGGAATTTGTACCTGTACATGATATATTTTGGTTCCCTTGCTTATACCCGACCACCCCTCCCTATTTACAAAAATCTTTGTTTCTGTTTCTTTCTTCTTTTCTCATATTTTTTCTTTTCCTTCTTTTCTTTCCCCTACCCCTTCTACACCTAACCTCCCCTTTGGGTCTTTTTTTTCCTATTTCACCTTATCTATCATACATTTCAGTCCTTGTTTATAGTTTCAGTTTCTTACACCAGAAAAACTATTCAGTATGTAAACATGTGTGTCCTATTTATTTCACTTAAATAGTACAGCCTCAATGTGAATCCATGTAGCTATAAATGTTTCCAGTTTATTATTCTTTGTAGCTGAGTAGTGCTCCATTTTATTTTATTTTGTAATATTCTTTATCCAGTCAAGAGTTAATAGCCATTTAGGCTGTTTCCAAGATTTAGCTATTACAAACTGTGCCACTATAAACATGGGTGTGTACACATACCAATGTGGTATGGTGCTTTTAATTATTTTAGAAAGAAACCCAATAGAGGAATAAATAGCTAAATCAAATGGAGCCTCTAATTCTAGTTCTTTGAGGAATCTCCATGCTGATTTCCACAGTGGTCGCACCAGTCTACATTCACACTAACAGAGGAGAAGGGTTCCATTTTCTCCAAAATCATGCCAGCACTTACTATTGATTGATTTCTTCATAGTAGCCAATCGTTCTGGAGTGAGGGGGAATTTCACATTGCTTTCATTTGCATGTCTCAAATGACAGATGATATTAAACATTTTTCCCTCTTTTTTTTTTTTTTTGCTGTTTCTACTTCATCCGAGAATGTTCATTTCAGATGCCCATTTTTTTCAGCTTTAATTGAGTTGATTGGTACATTTTAGGGATACAGTACAGTCACATTCATTGTTGGGATCTAGTACCTCTACATGACAAGTCTTGATTCTCATTTTTCCCCTTACCTCTGCCCTCCCATCACCCGCTCCTCCCCTCCCCATCTACAAACACTTTAT